ATTTTGGTTAGAATCTCACTCGATTTTACTGTTAAAAAATTTCACTTTGATCTGCAGGGCCGTCTTGTGATCCTTGACATTTCAATAAATGATATATCCTTTAGATTTTTAAATATTTATTGCCCTAATAATCCTTCCAAAAGGAAAGATTTCGCATCTTCTTTGAGTCATCATCTCGTTTCATCTAGGCACATAGTCCTTGGTGGAGATTTTAACTTTATCCATGATAATGTTTTAGACAAGGTTGGTGGTAACCAATCTGTAACATCGTCTAGCGTGTCGGACTTTGATAACATTTTAACACCTTTTAGTTTCAAAGATATTTTCAGACACTTACACCCATCCAATATTCTTAACACCTGGAGAAGCTCCTCAGTAGCTTGTCGGTTGGACAGATTTTATGTCCAATCCGACAAGCTCTCATTATGTCATTCCTTCACGTCTCATGCATTGATTTTTTCAGATCATCTTGCCATCTCTTTTAAATTTATATTAAATCCTGATATTTCCGTGGGCAGAGGCTATTGGAAGTGTAATAGCTCCTCTGTTAACAACATCGAGTTTAAGCAGGATTTTAATCACTTCTGTAAAATATATAAATACTAATACTAATAAATTGATGATCTCTCGCTTGAGACGTGGGATGCGTTTAAGGATCTTACAGCACAATTTTGCAAAGAATTTAATAAGAAAATTCGATTACGTAAAGAGAAGGAGGTTTTGGACTTAACATCTGAGTATAGGGCTTTAATTCGCCATGGGAATGTTGCTCCAGGTAGTGGCTCTGTCCGAATCTCGGAATTAAAGAACCAGCTCAGATGTTTAGAAGACCTAAAACTTGAAGGGGCCCGTATTCGATCGAAGGCCGAGTATTTAGAAAATCATGAAAACCCTTCTCGCTTTTTCCTGAAAAAAGAAAAGGATCGTGCTGTAAAAAAACATATAACTAAAATAATAGACGGGAATAATTATCATACCACCAATAAGGATATCATATCTTCTTTTAGTAACTTTTATTCATCTTTGTTTTCTAGGGAAGATATTGACCTACAAGAAGCCTATAGTTTCCTTGAGGATTTGCCTTCCTTGGATGATCTTTCCAGAGACTCTCTGGAGGATCCGATATCCAAGGAGGAAATCCTCAATGCTTTGACAAACATGAAGAACGAGAAGTCTCCTGGTCCAGATGGACTTACGAAGGAATTTTATCTTGCCAATTTTGACGTTCTTGGCGATGTTCTAGTTCAGCTTTACCATCTTGTTTTTGATGCAGAGTCGTTAACATCTTCTCAGAAGTTATCCTACATAACTTTACTCTACAAGAACGTTGAGCATCCTGAGAGCGTCAAGAATTGGCGTCCTATATCTCTCCTGAACGTAGACTACAAGATTTTGTCTAATGTTTTATCTGTAAGACTTGGAAGGGTTTTAGATGACATTGTCGGGATTGACCAGACCTGTTCTGTTCCAGGAAGATCAATTCTCGACAATGGTCATCTGTTGCGTTCAGTTGTGGACTATGTTCGGGAGAGAAACTTACCTTTAGCGTTCGTCTGTCTGGACCAGGAGAAGGCTTTTGATAGGGTCAGCCATGATTTTTTATTTTTAACTTTAAAACATTTTAATTTTGGGGCTAATTTTCAAAAGTGGGTACGAATTTTATACAGTAATATTTCCTCGGCTGTGATCGTCAACCAGCATATTTCCCGGCCATTTCAGGTTACACGCTCTGTTCGTCAGGGTTGTAGCCTGTCACCACTGCTTTACATCCTGGTATTGGAACCCTTTTTGCTTCGTGTCCGTAAGGACACAGCTAGCATTTTGTTATCAAAATTCAAAATTCTATTGTATGTTGTATTTTTTAATTTTTTTATAATTCAGGTGCTGTGATCCATTTTGGCTCCTTTTATTTATTTCATAATTTTTGATTTTGTAAAATTTCAAAATTCTGTATTGACTTTTGAGCGATGAAACTGTGCACCTGGCTGCGTTCTCATTTCCCTTGAGTAGACTCGTAAAGGGACCGAAGTTTCGGGTCTCGGAAGTGGGATAGTAAGTAATTAGCTCCAAAATTTCTTTGTTTTATGTTGTCTCTTTTTCCTTTTCAGTGTTCCAGTCGCGTGTTTTTATTGTAAATATTTGTTTGTATATATGATTTTATTTGTTTTAATAAATCTTATTAAAAAAGAAAAAAAAAGTATCTGTTCTTATCAGCTTAATATCTGATACGTACCCCATCGGGGTACTTCGATATTAATCTGATTTTTGGACTTAGATGAGGTGCCCGGAGCTTGCTCCGCCCTCATCACGGGTTGCCCTGGTATTGCAGTACTTCCAGGCGTGGCCCACCCTCATAATACAAATGAAAAGAATCCCCCTTACTACCATGCCAGCTTGCTACTAGCATATGCCGTACACCTTCCAGAAGTGGGAAATTGGCGTGTGCTCAAAGCTCGGCTGAAAATCGACGTTTGCCCTACGTCTCACACTGCTTGTGCAAACCAGAATATTAATAGAACGTAATGCTCTGCTAAATGTATCGAAATGGGTTGCACTGGCATTTGCGTAGCCTGAGTGCAAAAGAAAGAAAGAGAGAAAGAACGAACGAACGAACGCTGTTCACAGAGAAGATCTTTTTTCTATGGCAAAATATTTGAGTACAAATATCCGGCATTATGCGTTTGTGAGAACGACTCAATTTATCGCCACTAGTGGGAATCGAGCTCTAATTTGTTTTTTTTTTTTTTTTTTTTTTCTCTCCGGTGGTTAGGGTCGGGCTTCGACTTCGACGGCCCGCTAAGTCCACCTATGGCTCGTTTAAGGGATTTTTTTGGTAGTTTTTGTCTCCCGAGCCTTTTTGTCATGGACAAGACTAGTGTCCTGAGGCGGACCCTGGTTTTTCCCCAGGTGTCCGGGGGCCAATTTTTATATGGCCATGATTATGTGGCTTTTTTGCAGGAGAGGGGGGGTAGACCCAAAGTCAATAGTGTCCATGGGCTCGGGTCGATCCTCTCGATCTTTTCACGTGACTTTCGAGTCGGAGGTCACGGTATCTGATATGCTAGCAAAGGGGTCTGTCGCGGAGATTGGCAATAATTCCTATTCCCTTTCTGGTTGTGACAGAACCCGTCTGGTAGCTAGATTATTCTGGCTACCAGAATATGTCTCAGATTTCGACATTGAAAAGTTTTTAGGTCCTTTGGATGTACAGTGCTGTCAACTAATAGGGAATTTTACTCCCATGAGGGTCTGAAGCAAATCAGGACCCTCATTAGGAGAGTTTTGCTAGAAGGGAAACCTTCTGCTTTTGATTTTGT